ACACAGTATCAAGTCATACTGTCTGAAACATCTCCGTTTAGGTTCAAGATCATTGTATTTTATGAATGGCTTGTATATACACTTTCTGCTTTTATAGAAACATAATGGTTTAATTAGAGAAAACGGACTTTTTTAAATTTTTGGTCTTTTTGAGACAGTGTCTCCTTGTAGCCCTAGCTGTCCTGGAACTCACTATGTAGACCAGGCTGGCCTTGAACTCACAAAGATCCCAAGTGCTGGGATTAAAGGCATGTGCCACCACGCCTGGCCCAGAAAACAGACTTTTAATACTTTTCTACCATCATTCTTCAGCATATAAGTATCTAATTATTATGGCTTTGGATTGTATTGTGTTAGAATGTTTGATTTTAAAAATTACTCTTTGAATTGCTGACTTGAGTTTCAAAAAAATTGTTCAATGAATAACAGGATTTCCAAGAATTTCTGAAATGGCTCTGAACATACTTCTGCCATTTAAAAAATTATTTTCCTTATTTTATGTGCATGAGTGTATTTATTGTCTGCATGTGTGTAAGTGCACCCATGTCATGCACTGCCCATGGAGGTCAGAAGGCATCGGATTCCCTGGAACTGGAGTTATGGACGGTTGTTAGCTGCCACGTGGGCTGGAAATTGAACCTGGGTCCTCTGTAAGAGCAGTCAGTGCTCTTAAGCACTGAGCCATCTCTCCAGCCCTGCCATTTTGTGCTATGTATTTACAGTATTCTTAGCATTGATGATAAGAAGATCAAAATGTCAGCCAGGCATGGTGGCACACACAAAAATCTCAGTACTCTGAAATCAGAGGCAAGAGATCTCTGAGGTCAAGGCCGGCTTGGTCTACATAGCAAGTTCCAGACCAGCCATGGCTAAACAGTAACACTCTAGCTCAAAAAAAATTTCCATCAACTCTGAAAAATGTTGAAGATGCTCTATATGCTGCAGCATCAGATTTAATTATTTATGTCTATTTCTTTAGGTATCAAATTAGCTTTCCTTTTTATTTTTTAAATATTTTATTATTTTTATTTTATGAGTGTATTGCCTGCATGTATGTAAGTGCACCCATGTTGTGCAATGCCCTTGGAGGTCAGAAGAGGCTGTTGGATCCCCTGGAAGTGGAGTTATGGATGATTGTTAACTGTCATGTGGGTGCAGTCAGTGTTCTTAACTGCTGAGCCATCTCTCCAGTCCCTACCATTTTTTTTTTTTGGTCTTTTTTGAGACAGGGTCTCCCTGTAGCCCCAGCTGGCCTGGAACTCACTATGTAGACCAGGCTGGCCTTGAACTCACAGAGATCTGCCTGCCTCTGCCTCCCAAGTGCTGGGATTAAAGGCGTGTACCACCACACCTGGCCCTACCTTTTTTAATAAGTGGTAAAATTTTATGTATGCCAGAGGATTGTTTTTTAAAAATGTACGATTACTGGTAAATAGATATAGATATATAGATATAGATATAGATATAGATATAGATATAGATATAGATAGATATCTCCAGTGTTGCATAAAAATCTCTTGAGAATAAATGGTTTAAGATGCCTTGGTCTAGGACACAAGGAGCCTTTCAGATAGAACTCCAAAGGAACAAAGCTGTTTCCCACACAGACCCTGTAATTGTTCACTACCCACTGGTGTACCACCTTTGGGTTTCAACCTTGACCTTGGCCCCAGGCCCTGAGGGAGGGGTAGAGACAAGGCATCTGGGCCCTTTGCTGGGATTTTCAGGGGGTTCTTTACATGTGGGTTGGTTGACTTGATGGCATACTCCCACTCAAGAAATGGCCAGCCAGAACAGAACATTCAGTCTAGGTACCTGTTGGGAGCTATTAATCCATTACGTACATTGAGCCGTGGCAGGCTTGTTTAGAGTTTGTGTTTTGCACACCAGTACCTAATCTGCCAAGTCAGGAGGAATGTGTTTATATGGTGGAGTTCACAACAAGTATTTGACCGCTCCTTGACCCTCAGATACAGGTGGGAAAAACAGCTGTTGCAACTAATTGAGCTAAGCAAACGGTGGCTATGCTGATGCAGTACTGTATAAAAAGGCGGAGCTAAAATAAACCGGGGCTGCAGTCTCTACTGACAGTCCTCCCAAGGATCTTTTCTGTCTCTTGTTTTTTCTTTCAATCCTCACTCCCCCTTTCAGGTACTGTGCGTCTTGGCTGGCTGGCACCGGCAAGTGGCACCCGGAACAGGGACCTGAAAAGTAGGGGGAAAAGTGAAGGACACCGCTGGAGAAATTGAGTGAGTGCACTCAGTAAGATTGGGGAGCGGTGAGTATTTATCTTGGGAGAAGATGGGGGAAGGAAACAGTCGCTCAGTTTTTGTAAGGAATATGCTT